GCTCCCCAGAGGAAGCCACTCCCAGAAAGGGCTGCAGAAGAAAGAAGAGTGGAGCCTTTTCCCCTGGCTTGTCAGCCCGCTCAGGCAGAACCATTCCTGACATAACGGAAGATTCTTTCCGCTCCCTGAAACCCAAGAGCCCCAGCAGGTCACCTGAGGCTGGAGGCCCCAAGGTATGCTTGCCTGCTGGGGGAGGGATCTCTGATACAACCTTGCCATAGTCAGAAAGGAATATGCAGGGGATACACACTGTCCAGGGACCAAGAACTCATTTCATCGGCACAGTCCTGGAAGGCTGCAAGAGAGGACCCCCCCCCATACCCACTGTACAAGAGAGAAGAGTAATGGCTGAGAAGTTTATGTGCCCAAAGTCCCAACTCTGTCAAGTCTTTCTCCTGACTCAGTCTCCATTCCCTTCTTGGCAAAGACCCACACTCAGTGCCCACTCATTGCCTGTATGGACCTGAACAGAGATAGCCAGATTTCTCCTTTTCCAGGGCTGATGGCTGCCTAAGCATCCTAGCCACACCAGGCCCAGGTTGAAAGAAAAAATGGTCCCCAAACCAGCCACCAAGACAAATGAAAGGCTCTAAAAAAGGGCCTGGTTTGGGAAGGGACTGCTGCCCACCTTCCAGGTGGCAAGAGTTCAGGATGAAGAACCCAGATGCCATCAAGGGGGACCACTGATGTCATATCAGGTCTCTATGACTGATGTTTCTGACGTGGATCAGCACTCCTTTCTCCTGTGGCATCTCTGTGTGAACTCATTCGTCTAACCTTTCTATTTCAAATCTGAGTGCTAGTGGCAAGGACCTGCAACTACAATCCCAGAGGCGCACGGTTCGAATCCACCAGATGCTCTGCCGGGGAAGGAGGGACAATTTCCTCCTGTACCAGTCAGATCTGATTTGACGGTACACTCACACAAAAATAATAAAAATTTTAAAAAAAATCTGAGTGCTGACTACACATCTCAGGAATGCCAAAGATTAATAAGGAAAGGGAAATTCAAGAATACCCCCTATTCTCCCCTCCTCGAATGCACACAGAGCCTTGGGATGTGTAAGTCTTCAGGTCCAGAGGAACTCAGGAGACTAAGCAGATGAGCTTGACCCTATCTTCTGAGCGCTGAGGCTCAAGGTAGTGGGCTCAGGGCGACCCTCCTCCTCCCCTCCCCCACGCCGGGGGTGGGGGGAACTCAGTGACTGTCTAAGATGGGATTCAATCCTCTGGTACCCGCACCTGGGGACAGGGCAGGGGTTTGGTAAAGCTTCAGTAAGGAGTTCTAGTTCGTGGTGGACTGGATGAGCCCAGGGGGCTGCCCTGGGAGTGTGGGCCGCAGGTAGGAAAGAAAGGTCCCAGGCTGGTGAAGGCGGATGGATCCAGACAAAGGGTTGGAGCTTCTGGTTAGAGGCTGAAAGGGAAGGGGGGGTGGGGGTGGGGAGAGAACCACGTGGCTGCCCTTAACCTCACCTGTGTCTCTAATCCACTAGGAGGGCCCAACAATGCCGGAGTATCCAGACACCTTCCTGGCCTCAGTTTCCCCTCTGTACAGTGAGGAAAGAGGGCTGGCCGGCCACGCTGGTGTCCACCCCCTGCGAGGAGGTTGCTGTGAAGATGCTCGCATCCCGGGCGGCGACCCCTCCCCGTTCCTGGGCATTCACTCGCTGCGCCGCCAAGCTGCCCCCCTCCCCTCCCCGCCCCTCCCCTGCTTCCAGCCCCCGCCCCCGCCCCGCCTCCGGTGTGCGCTTGGGGGGCGGGCGGCGGGCCGAGCCGAGCCGAGCGGAGCGCAGCAGCCGCCACCTGATCCCATCCAGGCGCGCAGGCGAGCGGCCCGCATTGGGCGCGCAGGGCCGGGTGCCCTCGGACCCGCGCGGAGCCGAACAAGGCGCGCGAGGAGCGGCGACCACCGCAGCAGCCCGGGCGGAGGCAGAGCGCGCGCGGCGTGAGTGCTGCAGTGGACCCCGGGGCTGGAGGACCGGGGTGGGCGGAGTGTCCCAGGGCCTGGAGCCCGGGCGCTGGGAGAGGGGCGCGCTATCCTCTGGGGAACTGGAGATAATCGGGTAGAGGGCCACGCTAGCCTGTGCCCCTGGGTGACCGGAGCCCTGGGACGGGTGGGGATGGAATCGAGGGAATGGTGGGGGTGGGCAATGATGGAGAGGAGGATGTAGGGAATTCAGGAGGCTGGGATGTGTGGGGGTGGATGGCAGGGAGAGGGGGCTGGGGACCCTGCACAGGCTGGGGGAAGAAAAGGAAGAAATGAAGGTGCAAGATACTCATCTCCTGGAGGCTTTAATTTGTAAACCCTCGGTCCCTTTCTGCCCTAGTTCCAGGGGTCAGTTTCCCCCTACTGGGCTATGCTGTCCCTCAGGTCAGGATGGGGTCCCCAGGCCAGCGACCGGACAGGAGGACCAGCCTCCTCCTCATCTCGTATGGAGTCACCGTGGAGAGGGGAGAAGGGGCAGTTTGGGATGGGCGGACAGCCGGGCCAGTTTTCCAGATTCTGGCTAGCTGTGCCATTTCTCCCTCAGTTCCCTGGAGAAAGGAAAGCAATTTGCAAAAGCGGCCAGCAGCCTGAGGTAGATTGCTCTTGCTAAAATTAGCACTGAAATTCTGATGAGGCTGGGCATCCTGACCTGCCTGGGGTAACCGGGGGAGCCTCGCTGTCCCTCAAGGAGCAGACACGGACACTGTAGCTGAGAACACCTAGGGGGCAGAGGCCAGGTCCCTTTCTCTGGCACTGGTCCCAGCAGCAGCCTGACCACCCACCCCATTCTTGCCTGGACACCAGAGGGAAACCTCACACCAGACAGGTCTCCTTCAGCATCTGTACTGAGCAGTACCCTTTCTCAGGACCGAGAATGTTTATCCTGGCCCTGTGCCCACCCAGAGGAGACAGGGTCACTGCCTTCAAATACCTGGAGGTCTGTCATGAGGAAACAGGTCTGTTCGGTGGGAGGGCAGGACCCGTGGCAGTGTGGGTGGGAGGGGGCGAGGTGGGCACCACCGGGGCAGGCTGAGCCTGGCTGTCCTACAGAGAACTTTCCAGCAGGCAAGGCTGTTCAGAGCTGGCCCAAGGAGGGGCTGAGGTCATGAGATACTGTCACTGCAAGCGGCTGGGCAGAAACTGGTGGCCAGGGAACACCAGTGCTGAGCTGGCCAGGCTTGTCCGAGCCATGGCAGGGAGGAGAGAGGCCCAGGAGTAGGCAAAGGGGCACGGGCACCTGTCCCTCCTCTGTGTGACTCTGTTGAAGCTCTTGCCCAGCAGGCAACATCCACTGCAGCTCCTGCCTGGCCAGCTCAGCACCTCTGAGAAGTGGGGGATTCCCACAAGCTTACCCAATAGAAGAATGGGCTTCCTTCCCCACAACTTTGCCCCTTGAGAAACTCCAGTCTGGGCACTGGGCCTCTGGGGAGGATGAATGACAAGGGAGAAAGAGGGCCTCTGCCTCCCGTCCTGGGCAGGCCAAAGGCCCCCACCTCCAGGCTGCCCCCTAGGCAGAGCCGGCCCTCCTTTGCCCCAGCTGTCTTCTAAGAGCAGGGAGGGTTGGGCTATCTCTGCTCTGCCCTTGGCTGCCCTCCGTGGTTAGACCCTCACACCCTAGCACATCCCTGGCTCCAGGAGGATTAAGTCTGTCTACAGGTGTCTGGGGAAAACCTGGTAATGGGCCTGCAGAGGTGAAGGCATATCCAGGACATCTTTCCACTCAAATGGGCTTAAATGTAATCCAGGATTAAATGGGGAGGGGGCAGTGAAGAAGAGGAACAGGCAGCCAAGCCAGGGCACCAGGCAAGATGATGGTCAAAGGGTTTTCAAATTACCTCACCCCTCCTGGGACCCAGATATCCTAGTTCCACACACGTGCACAGCCCCTAAAGCTCTGGGCCCCTCCCCACCATGGAGAAGAGTGTGTTGTGAGGGATGAGGCTGAATGGGAACCTGGAGACAGAGGGCCCAACAGGCCCGTGTACTGGCATGGCAGCTGAAGCTGACTTTCCACAGGAGCTGCCAGGGCCTGGGCTGCCCTTGAGCTGAGGCATATGGGTGGAGAAAGGTGATGGATCAGAAACCAGGCGCTCCTCCCACCTCTCACTTCTGCCTCTCATCCAGGATGAGAGCCTAACCTGCGCCTGGAGAGTCTCAGCAGGGCGACAAGCTGCAGCCACCTCCACACTTCCTTGCTCCTGCCCATCTCTGGCTGCCAACCACCGCAGCCTCACTGTCAGGCTGGTGATAGGGTGGCCAGGGTGACGGGTATCTGGGGAAGGACTTCAGCTAGGGATCCAGAAGTCCAGGGATGTGTTGATCTCAGGCCCTGAGAGCAGGAGTCTATCTCAGGTGACCCAGAGTATAGATGTGTGCAGAATTTGAATGGAGGGCGAGACAGGATAAGCAGGGTCTGTGGTATGGCCTCTGGATCGAGTCTGAATCCTGGCTCTGGCATGAACAGCTCTGCAACCTAGGACAACTTCCATCATCTCATAAAGCCTCACTTGCCTCATCTGTTAAATGGGTATGTGACCTGCTTCAGGAGCAGAGTGAGGATTCAATGGGATAGAGTATGAAATGGAATCATATCTTCGTTACATCAGAGGCTTAGGAAACTGGAGGTCTGGTGTGTGTTCTTAGAAGTCAGCTCCGGCTCTGAGCTGAAGGAATCAGGCAAGACATCCTGGAAGAGGGAAAATTGAGAGTTGAAACTTCTATGCTCTGAGCCAGGTCCTGGTGCGGAGGCCAGTCCACTGAGGGGAACAGACAGAAGACAAAGGGGAATCTGGGGCAAGCAGAGAGCAGAGGTGGGGCTCCTGGGAGGGAGTGGTGGTGGCCTGAAGGGCTGGCCACATCCCCAGCCCCTGTAATTCCACCCCTGCTGGGGTTATCTGCAGCCTTGAGGAGATAGGGTCTGGGTAACGGGAGGCAGGAACCCGATCTCGTCTGGCCTCTCTGCTCCCTCAGCCCTCCGGCGCTCTCTTTTTCAGCAATCCTGTGGGGCTTGGAGCCCATCTCTGCTGCTGCTACAAACCTGTCTGCCTCCTTCTCCTGCCAGGCCTCTCAGGAACACTGGCCCTGCTACCGGAGCCCCAGGAGCCCCCATGAGTGCTGGTGAAGGGAGTGCTGGATAGCGAGGCCCCCGGCTGGCCCACCGCTGGGCACCTCACCATGCCGCCCATCCTCCAGCACCTGCAGCAGGCCACCAAGATGCTGAGCCGCCGGAGGGTCCTGCTGCTGCTGCTGGGGTGCAGCACCTTGAGCCTGCTCATCCACCAGGGGGCGCAGCTCAGCTGGTAAGGGCCCTTCCCCAGGGGCTTTGTTTCTGGCTTGGGGCTTACCTGGGGAGTCCTCCTTCCACCTGCCACAGGATTCCTTCTCTAGGTCATCACCACCTCCCTTGGCCGAATGCGTCTCCACTGAAAGAGCCGTGTGACTTGCTCCGTGTCACTCAGCTCGTCAGTGACAGCTGGGACTGGGGTATGGCCTGATTCCAATCTAGGATCCTTCCCTCTGAATCACATTACCTCCCCCAAGTCTCCAGGGAAAAGATTTCAAGAAGAACCACTTCGCTTGAGCCCTGGGTTCCTCCTCCATAGACTGTGAACAGCGACATGTGACCCAGGCTAGTCACCCTGCTACAGGAAACCAGGTGACAACCAGTGAGAGGCCTCTCTCTGTTCTAACTCACTGAACCCAACCACGTCCAGCACCTCACCTCTCAGGGACCTCAACGTTTCCATTTCTGCTGTCCCTGAGGAGGGTGGGAATGGGCCCTGCTCTCCCCTCAGTGGGATCATTTGCTGGTTTAACTCTAAAGGACTAAAGTTTAACAGGACTTTCCAAGTCACCTACAATCCTAAACACCCTTGTTTCTGGAATGAGGGCAGCCCCATGTGGTCAGGGTCACCCTTGGGCGGTTGCTCTGCACGCTGGGGTGTCTCTTGAGTTTTTTAATAGTGCTCACAGGCTATGCTCAAGTGGTATTTGTTGGACGAGTGAGTCTCCAGAGGCCTTAAAAGAATCCCAACAAATGGGTTGCCTCAAAGCCTGGCTCCACTGTTAGAAGGTGGAAGTAAAACTGAGAAAGAAGGCAGAGAGCAAGGGGGTAGGCGACTCAGGTACCACGAGTGCCTGGCTGTAACAGGTAAGTATTTTCTTAGAATTTGCTCAACACGAGTTATTCACTGCCCTCCATTCTACCAACCACCTGCTCTAGCTGATGTGTTTAATATACGTGTGAATGGATACATTCCTTGTATAACATTTAATATCATTTTATATAGGTAAATGCTTTCAATTAATGTCATTGGTATTGTGCTATAAATTCAAAACTCAAAGCTGACACAACTCATCTTTGGCATTTGTCGCAACATTCAATTTCTGAGGTTATAATCCCATGAGAGGAGACTGCCCATCTTTTTCCGTCAAGCCACGGGTGGGTCTGAATCACCAGAGAGGCAACCCCTTTGGGTCAACAGTCAGCTCCTTAAAGGCTAGGCCACCAGAGCTCTGGATTTGGGGCTCAGCTCTAGTGGAAAGCTGGCTGTCTGTCCTGGAGGAAGTGGTTTTGCTTCCTTCAGCATCCGCAGGCCTGCCATTCCCTGGAGGGAGACAACGATGTGTCTTGGCATCCCCCAGAGTCAAGGAACGTCCCACCACAGACAGTTGAGTTACTCCCCCTCCCCGCCCCTCAGCTCACTTTCCCTTTCTTTTATCACTAATGAGATAAAACCTATTACAAGCCACATCCTACGGAAGCCCCTTTCATCGGATTAGGGCCCTATGGGATTAAGCAGTGTTGCATCCCACCCTTAATCTTTTTACAACTATTTGATTTAACAGATCATGATCATTAAATAACTTCCACATGATGCCACTACCTGCATGGGGACACAATTCAGTCCATGATAGTGACCTTATCTGCGTTGTTTCTAGCCTTTTTTTCTTTGCCAATCAGTTTCTGGATCTCAAAGATCCTCAAGAACCTGTGAGGTTCCTTATATTTGTTTTCTATTTCTACATAAATAAATTGCCCTGAAGTACAGCAGAGAGAAACAACTGGCCTTGACTGTCTCACTGTTACTATGGGCCAGGAACCCAGGCGCAGCTTTGCTGGGTGTGTCTAGCTCCAGGTCTTTCATGACAGTACACTTATACTTGATAGCTGCACTTGCACTTGAACTTTCTGTTGGAGATGTGGTCTCATCTGAAGGCTCGATTGGTAGAGCTCTGCTTCCAACCTCATGACAGGGTTGTTGGCAACAAGCTTGTCCCCAATATCCTGGAGGGTGAGATACCAAGACAGGCCATAGTCTTTTTTTTTTCTCCTCATTTTTATTCAGTCACTGTTGCATAGTGTCTTCCCTCCCTCTCCTTCTTCCCTGCCCCCATCCACTTTGTAATGCACCTCTTGTTCTGCACTGTTTATAGTCTCTTTCTAACAGAATCTCAGAAGTGACATTTACCCTATGTTATTCCTTAGAAGGGAGCTCTGGTGGCTTAGTGGCAAGAAGCTGCACTGCAGCCCTGAAGGCATGAGGTTCAAAGCCATGGGAGAAGGATGGGCAATCTCCTTCCCTGCAAATGACTGCTTCTGAAAACCCGCCAGAGGGTCAGCACAACAACCAGAGTGTTTAAAAGAACAGGCAACCCTCAGAGATGTTCCAAGTGTGGTCCCAGACCAATACAAGGAAGTGAATATTCCAGTAAAGCAAGTCACATGAAATGTTTTCTTTCCAAGGGCATTTAAAGTTAAGTTTACATTATACTGTGGCCTGTTGAGTGTGCATTACATTACATTAAGTGTGCAATGTTGTTGTTGTTACGTGCCATCGAGTCGAGTACGACTCATAGCGACCCTATGAACAAAAGATCTGAGCCCTGTTCTGTCCTGTGCCATCCTCATACTTCCTGACGCACAAGAGCCCATTGCAGTAGTCACCGTGTCAGTCCACCTGATGGAGGGTCTTCCTCTCCTTTGCTGACCCTCCACCCTTCCCAGTCCTTCTCCAAGGAATAGCCCCTTCTAGCAACATGCCCTGAGTATGTGAGATGAAGCCTCTTCTTTACGGACTCCAAAGTGAGCAATAGCATTACATGCCATCAAGTAGGAATCAACGAAGAGCTGACCCTCTAGCCGGATTTCCGAGACAGTAAACTACATGGGAGGAGACTGCCCATCTCCTTCAGGACAGCTGGTGGATTTGAACTGCATGTCTTTGAAATTAAGGCACAGCTTCTTATTACTAGGGCACCAGAGCTCCCAAATACAACTGGAAAGGCTATATGAGACCCACATAGAAAATGAACACAGGATGTTGGGGAAATGGCGCAGATAAAGTTGATGCAGACAAAGTGGCCACAACCTTCAATTAGTAAAAAAGTGTCTGTGAAGGTAAATAAAGTGCAGCTCAATGAACCGAGTGATGCCTGTGTCAACAAATCCAGCCAGCAGGTCCGCGGTTGGTGGGGATGACACAGCGGAGTGGACATGTGGAGGCTAGCAGAGGGTCTTTGGAGATTTCCGCACGGACTGCTTGCTATGCCACCCCTCCACTGTTCCAGGAGGAACGTCCAGGACCGACCACTGGGGGTCATAATCCTCCATCCTTGGGGAGGGGTAGCAGAGAGGCTGCATCTCCTTCACACCCTCCTCCCTGCGTCCCCACGCCCGTCCTTCAGGTACCCGAAGCTGTTCCCCCTGAGCTGTCCGCCTCTGCGGGAGTCACCACCGCGCCCCAAGCACATGACGGTGGCCTTCTTGAAGACACACAAGACGGCGGGCACGACGGTGCAGAACATCCTGTTCCGCTTTGCCGAGCGCCACAACCTGACGGTGGCCCTGCCGCACCCGAGCTGCGAGCACCAGTTCTGCTACCCACGCAACTTCTCGGCGCACTTCGTGCACCCGGCCACGCGGCCACCGCACGTGCTCGCCAGCCACCTGCGCTTCGACCGCGCTGAGCTGGCGCGTCTCATGCCGCCCGGCACCATCTATGTCACCATCCTGCGCGAGCCGGCCGCGATGTTCGAGTCGCTTTTCAGCTACTACAACCAGTACTGCCCGGCCTTCCGGCGCGTGCCCAACGCCTCGCTGGAAGCCTTCCTGCGCGCGCCCGAGGCCTACTACCGCGCGGGCGAGCACTTCGCCATGTTCGCGCACAACACGCTGGCCTACGACCTGGGCGGCGACAACGAGCGCAGCCCTCGCGACGACGCCGCCTACCTGGCCAGCCTCATCCGCCAGGTAGAGGAGGTCTTCTCGCTGGTCATGATCGCTGAGTACTTCGACGAGTCGCTCGTGCTGCTGCGGCGCCTGCTGGCCTGGGACCTGGACGACGTGCTCTACGCCAAGCTCAACGCGCGCGCCGCCACCTCGCGCCTGGCTGCCATCCCCGAGGCGCTGGCGCGGGCTGCACGCGCCTGGAACGCGCTGGACGCCGGCCTCTACGACCACTTCAACGCTACCTTCTGGCGCCGAGTGGCGCACGCCGGGCGCGCGTGCGTGGAGCGCGAGGCGCGCGAGTTGCGCGCGGCCCGCGAGCGCCTGCTTCGCAGTTGCTTCGGTGCCGAGCCCGTGCTGCGGCCGGCCGCGCAGATCCGCACCAAGCAGCTGCAGCCGTGGCAGCCCAGCCGCAAGGTGGACATCATGGGCTACGACCTGCCCACCGGCGGCGCGGGGCCCGCCACCGAGGCCTGTCTCAAGCTGGCCATGCCTGAGGTGCAGTATTCCAACTACCTGCTGCGCAAGCAGAAGCGCCGAGGCGTGGCGCGCCCCAGGCCCGAGCCAGTGCTGGACAATCCTCCTCCTCGACCCATCCGTGCACTGCCCCGCGGCCCGCAGGGACCCTGAGCCCCCTGGCCTTCCTAGGCTGAGGTCCGCCTCTGTGCCCGTCCCACCACGGGGGCTGATCCCCATGTGGACTTTGGCGGGCACTTTGCACACTGAGCCCATCTCCCTGGGGTGGGCTGAGCCCCACTTTTGGGAGGGTGCTGATAGGCCCAATCGAATCCCGGGGCTACCCTGACCCTCCCAAATGATTAGTGACTTTTGACAAGATGCCTGAGACCTGTCCGGAACTGCCCACCCTGCCTTTTATCTGGACTCTGAGCTCCCCGTTCATTTGAGTCCTTCCAAATGGAGGACCCCAGGGTCCAGAGGGGAGTCAGGCCCTGGGGACACTCCTCTGGCTGCCAGGCTCCCTGGCTCTTGCCTTTCTTCTGGGGCTGCAAGGGCCCCCCAACTGTCTTCCAGGTTCTACCCTCCCACAGACCTGAGCTGCTCCCAGACTCCAGAACGAAGCGTTCTCGGGTTGGGTTTTTGTTTGATTGTTTTTTTCCTTTTTTTAATAAAATACCCAGAAAATGTACAAGTTGTATGTCTGCCTTGGAACGCCAGATTCTCCGTGACAGGGAGGCTGGTGGGGGGTGCGCGCATGAGGAGGGGGCAGGACTCCCCCAGGTCCCCTGCTGCTCCTCCAGAAGGTTCCGGGCGGATCCAAGCGCAGACTGTCCACCTCCGCCACTTGCACTTTTCTTTCAGAAACTCTAGAACAGGAATGAACTCCCGTTCCATCCAATGCAGCAAGGCATCTCTAGACGCCTGGACCCGTCTCTAACCTAGGTTAGAGACACAAAGAACGAGGCAGTTTGGGCCTTTCCCTCTGGAGAAGTCTTGAACATACTGTGAACCGCCAAGAAAACAAATAGGTCTGTCTTGGAAAGAGTGAACCCAAACTTCTCCTTGAAGGCAAGGATTTTGAAGCTCGGTCTCACATGCTTTGGGCACGTGTCCTTGGAGAAGGACATCATGCTCGGAAGGCTAGAGGGACAGAGGGACAGCTCAGGAGAGGAAGACCCTGGATGAGATGGATTGATTCAGCAACGGGTAAAGGGGTTGGTGTGTTGGAGTCAGTGTGACTGGCTCAGGACAGGGCAGCTTCAGAGCTGTTACACACAGGATCACTTTGAGTCGCAGGCGACTCGTGGACACATAACAGCAACAACAGTTCAAAGGGAGACTGAAACAGGCGTGCCAGGGGAGAAGGGCGGGGGTTGCCACAATGCTACATCTCCTTGGTCAGAGCTGAGTCTGGAGGGGGCTCATCTTCCGGTAAAGAAGGGCTTAATACAGAGTCATTGAAAGGGGATCTGGAAAAGATCTGAAAAACTTCAAGATTTAGTTGCTAGCCTAGAAGGTCTATGATTTGAACTCTCCAGGCTCGGTGAGCAACAAAGGGGGTGACAGGCAGCTTTTCCAGATACTTACGGTGTTGTGTGATTGTTTTTTCTTTTTTTAATTGTTATTTTAATGAAAAGTTTCAGTAAGATTGAGTTTTCATTCATTTATTGATGCAGAGAGTTTTCCTTTTTTCAATAAAACACCCGGGAGATGTACAAGCTGTACGTTTGTTTCCTCCTATGGGGTGGTTCGGCTTTGTCCCTTACAGTCAGATCCCTTAGGAGACATGAGTCAGCATTGACTTCAGTGGCACCAGGTTTTTCTTTTTCAGTCACTGAGCTTACCTGCAAGAAGGAGACAGCGCTGACTTAGGTGAGGACCAATCACTCGCCTAAATTCCTGCCTTTGAAGACCTGCAGAGCATCAGGGCTTTGTCAGTTACTTCCCACAGGTACGTCTGGACAAGCAATAACGTTAGCTCACACCGTGGACTGTTTGCCAGCCACGTGTAAGGGCTGTCCACGCACCTGAGGGAGGCAGTTTTATTGATGAAGCAAGTGGAAAGGTGCCATGAAGCTCAAGGTCACAAGCGAGAAGGGGTCATAGGACTTGAACCCAGGCCATGCAACTGAGTCTGGTCATATTCCAATAGAGAGACTCCCAGGACCCGGGAGAGGCTGACCCCCAGGACCTTTCCCCTGAAAGAATGTCCCATGAAGAAACCAAGGCATGCCTTCGGCTTATCTGCATCTTGGTTTGCACGGAGACAATGGCTGACCTGTTCAGGCAGTGGAGATTGCAGAGTAGCTTGGCAAGCCGTGTGATGCACCCCAGGTTGGAATGGGGGTGTCTGTGTGTCACCTTGGTGTTTTCTTACCAGTAGAGCTCTGAAACAGGCAAAGGTTGGCATGCAAAGGCACAAGCAGGCCTTTGGCATTAAGGAGGGGAGAAAAAACTAGGCTGGAAGGTCTGGATTCAAAGGCAAGTGTCCTCTGGCCCCCAGGCCAAGAAGGCATCTGCCTGCCACTCTCTCCCTCTCTCCCCTTCTCCAGCTCTGACCTCTGGTCATAACTTTACCTAAAATGTCCTTCCCTTTGCCCTGGGTTTCACCTGGAAATCGGTAACACTGCTAAGGGCCACCTCGAAAGACCTTCCCTGACTCCCAGGCAGCTAACCCTCCTGTGCAAACCACACCCTACCTCAGCTGAGAGCCCAGCTTTGAACGCAGAAAAGCAGGAATTCAGGAATCATCTAGAGTCATCAGCCACTAGGAGGGAATTTCGCTTCTGATGGGACAAGAAAAGGCCTTAGGTGGACGTCGAATCAAGTATCATCTCTGAGAGGCCAAGGAATGCTTATCCAAAAACATCTCTGGCCTGAGCCACCGCCCCAGGGAACAGCGTCTCGCCCTGTGATACTTTCCTTTAGTTACACTTGATGCTGCCCTTTCTGTGCCCACGCTGCCTGGCTCTCGGTCCTTGGCAGCAGTACGTGGTGGCGGCTGTGTGCAGACACGTATGGTCTGGGGCAGATGGGGAAGCAGAAACCTAGGGACGCTTTTGCCTGGTAACTGACAGTTGGTGCTTCAGAGTCAAACCCTGGCTCTGCCACCTACTACTATGACCTTAGACCAGCCCGGCTCCTGGTTCCTCACCTGTGGAATGATGCACCTCTCATGCGTTTTGTGAATAGCGTTTGAGGCCAGAACTCAGCACATCTGGGTGCATGGAACTGCCCCTGGGGTGGCAGCTCTGGTTTCCTCATGCTCCTCCAGGAGCTGCCCACATATTGTCAAAGACGCAGAGTGGCCCATCTGTCACGAGTTCTCCAGCAGAGGGATGGGAGCATATGGAGAAAGGGGACTTCTTCTACAGCACCCAAAGGTCAGCATGGGCCAGCAGGCACTGTGATTGTATAATTCTAGAAGGATGTGAGAGATGTGTGGCCAGCTGGAGGAGGATGAGAGTGTCCTCCGGAGAGGCCAAGAGAGGCTCCCTAGGGCAGGGGTCAGGGAGGACATGCCAGGCAGGGACCAGCATGTACCCAGAAACCCAGTGAAAAGCCTGGCCATTGCAAGATGGGGTAGACTGGGCCAGAGAAGTGGAGCTAATAAAGTGTGACAGTTCCAGGTGGTAACCACAGGGATGGTGGGCTGCCCCTTCACAAAGAGGACCACCACCTGCACCCCTCGGCAGCCTGGCCGGCACAGCAGCTTGGTCACCAGCAGGGACCCCTGTCATTCAGGACACAGGCTCTTGGAGGTGGAGGCACTGCTCTGGAGGAAAACCCCTCCCTGATTCTTCTCAGCTTCTGCTCCCAGTTCCTTGGAGAGCTGACGGCCCATTTCTACCCCTGTCTGTGTCTCATTGCTTCTCTGTTTCTGCTCCTTCCATATCTCAGAGTGATGGATTGAAAACTTGCACACATGGAGGTAGAAGCCCATCCCAGAAACAGAGTTTTATTTGTTATGTTAATGAGACTGTCCCTTTGATGGGTAAGTGTAACCCTCTGCTTCTGTAAAGATCACAGACTTATAAACTGACACTCACTGTGAATCAACTTGATGTCATGGGTCAATCTTCACCAAGATTGTTGTTTTTGTTGTGTGCTGTCAAGTCAGAACCGACTCATAGCTGACCCTCCAGTGAGTTTTCGGAGGCAATAAATTGCACAGGAGATTACCCATCCTTCTTCTGTGAAGCTGCTAGTGGACTCAATCCCTGTTCCTTTGGGATTGCACGGCAGCTTCTTTCCACCAGTCCACTAGAGCTCCCTAAAATTGTTATCCGATGCCACCAAGTCGACTATGACTAGTAGCAACCCTGTGAGCAACAGCTCTGAACCTTGCCCATCATATGCCGCCCTCAGCCTCTCTTACTATTGTTAGGGTCACTGTCACTTCACCTTGTTGAGAGTCTTCCTCTCTCTCTCTGACCCTCTGTCTTTCCCAGCTTAATGTCTTTTTCCAAGGACTGACCTCTCCTGACAATATTCCTGAAGGCTTGTGAGGTGAAGTTCCACCATCCTTGCCTCCAAGGAGCACCCTGGCTGCACTTCCTCTGAGGCAGACTTGTTTGTCCTTTTAGTAGTCCATGGGAGATTACGGCGATTGCCTGTGGAGTTCTCCCCCAGAAAACTGGGGGGCTCCAATCACGGGTCTTTCAGTGAGCATCTATATACTTGACCATTGCACCACCAGTGTCCCTTACCCCCGTGTGTAAGGGTTAGGACTTGTAACATAATTTTGAGAACACAGTTAAATCATTAAGAGCAGGGAAGCTGGTGACAGTGTAACACAATCAGACCGCTTCCCAGGACAGAGGAGCAGAAGAGGCTCACGGGCCCTGAGGAGAGGGATGTGAGGGAAGGGTGAGATGAGGAGGGGTGCTGAGCATGGCAGTCTGCTTCCTGATCTCATGGACCCCAATTTAGCATCTTTGACCAGGCAGGTTTGCAATCACCTAGATACCCCAGCCAACAGTCCCCCTTCTCCCCAAGAGTCCCCAGGATAGGAGTCCTCATACTTTCTTGGCCCAATCACATAGGATCTCCATAACACCCAGACAACATGGTGTGGGGTCAGACCCCAAAGCTCCACCAAAGTGAGAACACCGTGTCCCACCTTTCTGAGATGGCCCAGAACCAGGGCAGGGCCAGGAGTGAGGGCATTCCCACAAGGCAGGGTCACAAAGGCAGAGCCCAGATCAGCTACCCCAAACTTGGACTCTG